ATTTCTGTACTATGTTATATATGTTTTATTTTAATTCTAAGAAGTATTTATACTTTGAAGAAACGAAACAAGATACATTTAGTACATGAAAAAACTAAACTTCATTTATATCAACGTATAATTGTCATTCATTATGACATAAGTACATCTGTAATATTTGTCATCTGCAGTAAGTCAAAATTAGTCGTTCAGTTGATCTTCGTTTTCCATTGGAGAAGTTTCTGGAAGAGGATCATCATCTGTCTTTTTCTTTGTAAAGGAAGATGTTCTTTGAAAATTTTGTAATGTTGGACTTTTTTTGCTCTCCTAAACATTGATAAAACACTATATAATATAGGCGATCAGTGAAATGACGCAGCTAATACTAAGAAATATAGATCCCATTCAATAAAGATGAGGGTATCATAAATGCGATTACTCATTCTTAAATTTCGAATCAGATAATATTTTGCAATTTAAACTTTAAAACTACTAAAAACAAAATTGATTCGTCTATTTTCAACAGAATAGCAATGGGTTGTATTAAGGTCCCCCTGAGACCTGGAGCCACTTTTATAAAAAACTTAAGTTCGACTTAAGTGAAAAACTAAGTTGGCGTTAAGACACACTTAAGTAAAACTTAAGTTTTGCCCAAACTGCGTTTTATAAAGCGTAACTTAAGTGTGACTTAGTACTTAAGTTAAAAGATTGACTTAAATGTATTTAGTGCTAGGTAAATGCGTCACCGTGATAGATTTAATCAGTCCAGATTAGGAAAAGTGTGAGGGCTGAGCGCTTTTTATCAGGGTTTCTAAGTGTTTCTATGACACTGTCAGAAACGTGAAGTGACTGAATTGCTGAGTAAGACGGTTCAAATGACTGATTGAGTCGTTTTAGCAAAGATTTTTGTGGATGAAATGACTGACTCAATCGCATTAGGGAAAATACAATATATGTACCGTGAATGAAGTTAAACATTTCCAAGGAGTATAAGACAGCGCTGTAAGGCAGAGCTTCTTCAATTAGACCTCTGATTTTCTTTACAAGAAAAATTGCATTTCATTAACTGCGAAAGTAAAAAATGATGGTTCGCAGCGCAGTTTAGAACGATGCTTTCGTCTTGCGTCAATTAACTATTACAACACAGCTAAGAGGACTGTTACAACAACGGTGTGTCAGAACTACACTCTAGAACTACCCTACAAAACCAAAAGGGTATTTTAAGAATGAAAATACCCTTTCGGCATCCTACAAAACCAGTTTTGGTATTTCATAAAAAAAGTATTTCGTATTGATAGAAAAACCGTTTTGGTACTTTGGGATACCGGTCGTTCGTAACTACTAAACCCTTTTTGGTATCCTAACGGAAATGAAATAAGGTCTAAGGGCATTCTCAAAGGTGAAATACCCTTTTTCAGATGAAATGCCCTTTCCTTTCTTAGAGTACAGTTCAGCAGCAACCGAGATACCAATTTTGGTTTTTTACATCTCATACAAAACCAAAATCTGTTTCGCAGACAGAACGGAATAGCGGTTTGGTTGTATAAAATACGTACTTTTTTAGAGAGTAGTTCGCTTGTACAGGGTGCGTAAAAATGTTTTTCCAGGGAGGGAACTCTATGCTAACAAACAGCAATCATAATGAATTTTATACCAAATGAAAGCGCGGAAAAAATGTGTTCTTCTGATACTAAATTGTAAGGGTTCGAAAAATATTTTTATAACAAGGACAGCAAATCTCTGAAAAAACTGTACCAAAAGTAGTCTTTTAGAGAACATAACTCTATGATTTTACACAATAACCCTAATGAATCTTATACCAAATGAAAGCGCGGAAAAAATGCGATATTCTGATGCTAAAGTATAAGGTTTTTAAAAATTATTTCATGACGAACATAATTTATTTTCAGGGTTTCAAGGTATTTCACTATGAGAAAGTTGTTGAAAACTGAAACTTGAACTTTATTTTTCAAAACTTCTTATTAAGATTAATAATCAGTGTGACGCCCATTGGCATTCCTCACCGCCTGAGTACGGGACGGATACGAACATAAGAGATTTTCGAATAGTTCCACGTTTGATTCCATATTGGTCAGAACATCTATGAGATGCTTTTCTAATGTCTCTTGCGTATAACAATTCTCGACGGTTTCCAATAATAGTTTTCGCTCAACTTCCTCTTTAATTTTTGTTCCAATGTGTTCAGCGGCATTCAGATAAGGTGAATTGCCAGGCCATATGTCATTACCCCAAAAAGTGATATCGTTCTCTTTAAGCAAATGTTGCGTCATATTTGCACACATGCATGGCGCTTTGTCATGGACAAATATCACTTGATCAAGATCGATTACATTTTCTTCGTCCTTGAGAAATGGACACACGTGCTGCATCAGAATAACTTAAGTCAAAAATCACACTGAAGTTATTTTACAAAACACGAATTTCTATCTTTTTCGATTTAAGTCTGACTTAAGTTTTTTTATAAAAGTGGACGTAGAGACATAAAGACGTAACGAAAATTTTCTTTTTGGCGTCACTTGCAACCGTTCGTGAGAGGGCGCCACAACAACGGTCAAAAATAGGCGGCTGCTATTCACAAGAATTCTCAGTCCAGGTAAATGACAGAGAGCGCGGGCTGGTTTTATTTTGCAGTGAACACCTATGCCTAGGACAGAGGGTGACAGAGGCCGATTTTTGAATTTCTCATTTACTGACTTCTGGTTCTTAATAGAACTTTAAAATCCGAAAAAATCCTTGGAAGGTTTCTTAGAAATTCTCATTGTTATAAAAAGCCGAAGCAAAATTTAAAAATCGGGCTCTGTCAACTGTAACCTACAGGTGTTACCTACAAATCAAAAACAGAAAAGCTTCCTCCGATGTATGATTACCGCTCACCACCCTCACCCTCCATACTTGCATAAGGACCTAGAGGTCCTTATGCTTAAATCTGACAATAGTAAACGTCAGGACTAATTGTTCTAGCTGGTACGAAGTCAGGTGAATTGAACAAGATATTTGGATTACTTTCACTTCGTATATTTACATTTAATAGCTGATCGTTTCGGAGCATATGCTACCTCGTCATTAGTAGCAAATTAAAAATTAAATTATACAAAAAACTTACATCTGGAACACAAGAGAGATAAGCGGTTACATTGAAAGTAAAGTACACAGATTAAAATAATGGAACAAATTTCTTTTACTATTGCGTATAATTTACTCTTTTTTGTTTATGCAGTCCATATCTACTATTACTCATACGTAGGGGAGGTATCAAATGATCTTTGTCATTTTTCTCGTGTTTATATAGCTTTTATCTTTCGTTCTGTTAAATCGTAAATGTTGGCTTTTCTTTTCCATTTTTATGAAAATCATACCGGATCGCATCTGTATCCGTTTTTGAATGGTAGGAGCCCATTGTTGCGAGATATATCGTTTATTATTGGAAGAGCGATTAGAAATCGAATAAGCGGATTCTAAATACTCTGAACGAAATGTAATTCGCTCACAATAAAAGTTTTTACAATCATCGAACGTCATTTCGTACGCCCCTTTATAACGACATTCATATTTTCGGTGTTCCTTATATAGATGAACGAGAACAAAACAAAGGGGTGAATGAAAGTAGAGTCATTAAATCTTATTAAGTGCTTAAACATTAAGATCATAGATTATCTTGTGTCATTATGGAGTTGTACGTACTTTACATTGACAGTTCCCTTAAGAGCCATTGCACGTCAGCCACGACCGACGTTCTTCAATCGATGTTCTTAAAACTTTTTCAAACTAGGGGGCTCTTTTAGACCAAACATTTTAATGAATTTTGAGGAATGCTTTTCTGCATGGAAACGGGGCCATTCTGGAGCCCCCTAGTACACTCTTGGAGTACATCAGGTGTACTATCATAGTCCATACGGCGATTTGTGAGTTTCGCTAAAATGACTTCGGGGGCTCGGTCGGGGACACCGAGCTTTTGAAGCTTGCTTCAGTCAGTGTTTTTTTGTGCTATAATATATTAAAGATTCATAAAAACCAGTTTGATATGCAACGTTTCACAAGGAATTCAATGGTAATACAACAACAAGTTAATTCTGCTATTAATATGAGCCTATGTACGAGTTCCGCCTGGGGAACCACTCATAGGTTATCTTTGATGGATTTTTAATAAGGTAGCTCGAATAATAATACTACTAACACTATCCAGAAGCACGATAAAATTGATTAATAAGCAATTTTTGTCACTTTCTCAATAGTTTTAAAATAATCTAACAAACTCTAAGTTACAACAAACTCTCTCACTAACTCTAAGTTAGATTATATGCGTACTTTTCATGAGTAATTGAGAGCTAACACATAACATGGTACTTTATTGTATTTGCATAGAAAATTGTCGTGGTACTATTGTATTTTGATATGGACGGTAGTATAACTGCTAATCATAAATATTTTTTCAAAGAGGTATTTTTGTGATCAAGGTTCTGAGTGACAACTTTATCAGTTCTATTTTCTGTACGTGATTGTTTTCTTTGAACTGTGTGTCTGATGCATATAATGAAACAGATACTTGTTTTAATTTATTGTAACTGTGAAAGAGCACATACTATGATAAGTTTGTATAAAGGATATTGAATTATGGAGAGAAAAGCCGTTCCAGTATACCTTTAGGACCGCTATAGATCTTCTGCAGCAAGTAGCACCACAGGAGACGATATGGCTGAATTAACTTGTTGTTGTATTACCATTGAATTCCTTGTGAAAAGTTGCATATCAAACTGGTTTTTATGAATCTTTAATATATTATTTCGTTTCAAATGGGTGGTACAGGAAAATTCAAGGTTTTCTGGATTTAGGCTCTTAGTGCGCCATGTATTACAAAATAACGAAAGCATATTTGAGCTTGCCGTTGCGTGGATTTGTAGTAGACACTATCTGCTACTTATGGTAAAATCGCCAAGGTTAAGTAATCTGTTGTTACCGAGTTAGAAGAGTTTAAAGTTGGCAAATTTTCAAGATGGCGGAATTCACGTTTTTCGGGGCGTTTCGTAAAATATCAATATCTCAGCAACGATACAACTTCTTGATTTCCGCTTTTCGCCAAAATTCATTAAAATGTTTGGTCTAAAAGAGCCCCCTAGTTTGAAAAAGTTTTAAGAACATCGATTGAAGAACGTCGGTCGTGGCTGACGTGCAATGGCTCTTAAATGCCGGAATTTGTGCGTTTTCGGGCACTTTGCAAAAGTTGAATATCTCAGCAACGCAACAACTTTAGGATCTGCGCTTTATGCCAAAATTCATGAAACTGTTTGCTCTAAAGAAGTCCTTAGTATAGGAGAAATCTGAGATGATCGGTTGACCAGCATTATACGATAATAGGTCGTAGCTTATCGTTAATGGTTCTTAAATACATTCCAACAGCTCAATTATGTGTAACACAGGTTTGAATTTTTCTGTGGCATAATTTTCGTTTAATTATCTCTATGACATCCGATGTCACAGAGGTAATTAAACGAAAATTATGCCATAAGAATGGGAAAAATAAATACAAGTCGAGAGTATAGATTCTTGTGCAGAGTGAAAATTTTATACTTTTGCGATCACTTACATCTCTTGATCTGATTCGTAATAATAATCATCATCAGCTAAATCATCATCAGAAGATTCATAATCGCCAAATAATTTAGTACAACTTTCGAAACTTTGGCGTATGTGGATCAGTTGTGTCTTGGTCACCGGTAATACCATTTGGCACAGTCGTTTTTTGATCATTTGCTGAAAATACTCCCCTTTTCTATTCGTTCCACCAAAATAATCACGGGTCAATAATTCATTTAGTCTTTCAACACCTTGAAGGCTAAATGTGTTCAAATTATTAAACTGATCATAAAACTCATGGAGATGACTGATAAAAACATGTATATAAGGAGTGATTTGATCGACTCCAAATAAACGTGTGTATTCTAATCCCCACTGTTCACATTTTTCTTTTAAACTGGTGACAAGTTGTCGTTTTTCTTGATCTCCAACGTTTGTTTTACAACATTCCAGAATTAAAAAGAAATTCTCGATTAAATTTGTAATTTGTTTGCGTTTGTTTTCATCATCAATAATAGCGTCTAATGGAAGAGTCCTAGTGTACTTTTCATGGCGCGCACCAGTCATTGAACTAGCTACACATATTTAAAAAGTTAAAAAACTCGAAAGTAAACGAAGTTGTCTAAAAGTTCGAAAACTCACATCATTCGACTCAGTTTTGGACGGTGATTCTGAATATGACCTTATTTTTGTCAGAAAGTTAATCTTTGACGGAGAAGATGGCGAAATACGAGGTCAATTTTGGCAGAAATTTTAACAGACATGAACTTTCTCAGCGATGAAGCAAAATTAAAAATAAACAAGATATACTTTTTTAGCCCGTTGTCAAATAAGTAAGATGAGATAACAATTTTGGCTACGACTATTAACTGGAACAACTAGATAGGTTTACAAAATGAGCTGGTACCATTGTGAAGGGTTCGATTTTGGCTGTCAGAAGCAAAAAGACTAATACTTTCGCAGTCAATTCAACATCATTTTTACAATCAGTTTTTAATGGTAAATCAGAAAAAATTTGTTTGAAAACTTGAAAAGAATGATAAGGAAGAGAATTTGAATTACTTTAAAAACAGGCGCGTTTTTCGAAAAATCCGATCCTTTGACAGGAAAAAAATGTGTCGAAAAGCTAAAACCAGCTTTTTCTTACTCAGTTCGATGCGCTCTTTCAAGTGATATATGATTTAACTGGAAAATAAAACAGTGCTCATCGTTTGAGTTTTCGGCAGCTTAATTTTGCTATTAGAATGAAGGGAGTGCGAAGCAGAAAATAGAGAAAAAATGAATTACCTGAATTCCATCAAGTTTGAATGAAAAACTAATTTGTTGACTATCTCGTGTTGTATCAGAGAAATAAATAGTGCTTAAACGTTTATCAAATGACCTAAAAATTGTGGACCATTGTATTCGTTGTTCAGGAATTTTCCACTGAATCAATTGTCGTTTAACTAGACGAATACAATCCGCCACTCTCTTAATATTCCGTACATTGTTTTTGTTTAATAAATGATGGACAATATCAAAATCAAATTTAACTCTAATGTTTTCTTCATCCAAAATCACAACTTCTGATGTTTTAGCGAACAGAACTTCAAATGAATTTGTAGTATTAGGTTGATCATTGTTATTATTACTGATTGTTTCATTATTCGGTGATAGAGAAATATTTATTATCGGTTTAACATCTGTTGTATTAAGATCTCTATCTATCACCGAGGGATACGACTGCGTGGATGATAAAATACTATTATTATTTGTATTTTCAGTGTTCGATATAGGATACAGCTCTATATTGTCGACGCCGACATTAAAAATATGAATGTCGGTAGATAAATCAGTAATAATTTGTGGGTCTAGTGAACATTCTATTTTAATATCGATGATTTGTGTGGACCATAATTCAGAATCTCGTTTTCTCTTTTTAAGTTTTTTGTAATGATTAGATCGCAACATTTTTAGTTGAATTTTAACTTCGTTCGATATGTCGGATTCGGTAAAAATCAAATTATGTTTGGTTGCTATCGACGTAACAAATGTTATCAAATTAGTGATATACTGTTTGTTTTTGAGAGTTTTGTCTTTATTAACGAACGATGATATATCAATACGCAAAACTGTTTGTCTATCTGTTAATATTTTTTTTCGTCCCACCTTCTAAATGGCAAAAATAAAAGTACGCAAAAGAAAACGAGCAAAAGTTGTTGTTCAAGCTTACTTTCTTTGTTGTTGAATTCTGTGACTGATCGATTCGGAACTCTTCCGATTCTTCGTCACCTTTAAAAGCTGTGCTAAATGTTTTCGGGGCTATATTGTTTGTTCCAGAAAAGTGACTTTCTACTTTATTGAACAAAACTACTTTTGTAGTAATTTGTCGCTCAGATTTTTGCTGTCCGTTATCATTTTGCACGGGAAGATCAAATACTAATTCATCAGGAATATCTCTTCCATTAAAATTGGTCGTTACAGTTGTAGCTATAATTTTTTGATCGCATCTTTCATTGTATTTTGTTTTTAATGTCTTTTCAATCACCTTAACTGTTGCATTAACGGCTAAATTGTCTTTTAAATTGATACCTTTTGCTCGATAATCTTTCACATTAATTGCTAAGCGTCTAAATCTTGTTTGTTGATGGGCTAAAAGTTGATTTTTGACCGGTGATTGTACTGAAGTTGTTTCCTTTAAATGAGTGAAAAGCTATAATGGTAAGAGAGTCGTAACGGTTGCATTTTTTCTGCTAAGTAGAATAAGAAGTACTGATGTACTTTAAGGACAAGAGAAATATGGACGATGAATTCAAAATGAGTATGTTAAACATATCCAGATTAATGTTGACTTAGACCAACGTTTATCGGTAAATTGAGCGAACTCGTTAAATAACGTAAAACTTTAATCGCAAAAACTTCAATTAGATTTTTGGGAAGTCTTTGGAAATTTTTTTTCTGGACGAGAATTGATATTTAAAAAATCGGAATAGATTAATTTATTTCGCTAGAAAAATTTAACTGGATAACTCACATGTGAAATGATTCCAGGAATATCTGACTCGCTTGAATTTTTGTGTGTCTCCGGTTGATGTCTTTTCTGAGGTGGCTAAAATTAGAGAAAGTCTCATTACATGCAAAATTCAAAAATATACCTAATTGTTCATTAAAGTGCGTATTCTGTGAACAACCAACAAAAAGACTTAAATTTACTCACCGATGAAGTAAAAATTGGCTGTCGAATTGCTTTTAAAATTCTATCTTTGATCGTAGTTTTTCTTGG